CCAACAAACCTGGTCCCCACCTTCTTTTTTTTTTTTTTGCCTCCAAACAATTTTGAGTTTTGTACCACATTGTTCTCCCTCTTTATGTAGGATCTCCTACATCCCTGGAGGAATTCTTAATGCATCAATTGACCGTACTAAATAAATATGATTAGATGATTACTATTTAGTATAATCTCCAGGTGTGGTCCCAAAGGAATGTGTGTAACACAACATCAGAATCTTATACTTTCTATATTTTTCTATTGTTGATTTAAAATATATTTTACTTTTTTCTTTAATAGAGCATGAGAGTTCTGAAGATGACTCTTTAAGCAGGTAAGATTTTACAGATTTTAAAATTATCTGTCAACTATGGGAATGCTGAGAAAAGAATGCTAACATTTTTCAGTGTTTTACTCTAGTCTGGAATCCACAATGGGTTTAACATCTGTTATCTCATATAGTCATCCTAACAGTCCTGCAAAGTAGTTGTGCTATTATTGTTGTTAGGTGACATCTACTTGGTTCTTACTCATGGCAACCTTGTATACAATGGAATGAAATACTGCTCAGTAGTGCATCATCCTCACAGTTTGCTATGTTTGAACACATTGTTGCAGGCACTGTGTCAAGCCATCTCATTGAGAGTCTTCTTTTTCTCTGACCCTCTACTTTACCAAGTATGATTTCCCTCTATCGGAACTGATCCCTCCTGATAACATATCCACAATATGTGAGATGAAGTCTCACCATCCTCAATTCTAAGGAGCATTTTGTCTGTACTTTTTCCAAGACAAATATGTTTATTTTAATAGCAGTCCATGGTATATTCACTTTTCTTTGCCAACACCATAATTCAAAAGCATCAATTTTTCTTTGGTCTTCCTATGTCATTGTCCAACTTTCACATGCATATGTTGCAGTTGAAAATACCATGGCTTGGGTCAGGTACACTTTAGTCCTCAAAATGGCACCTTTGCTTTTTTTTTTTTTTTTTAAATACTTTAAAGTCTTCTGCAGCACATTTGCCCAATGTAATGTTGTTTGGTATCTTGACTGCTGTTTCCATAGATGTTGACTATGGATCCAAGTAAAATTAAATCCTTGACAACTTCAGTGTTTTCTCTACTCACCATGAAGTTGCTGAGTGGTCCAGTTGTGAAGATTTGTTTTTAAATTTATGTTGAAGTGTAATCCATAGTGAAGGTTGTATATAGTCTTTGATCTTCATCAGTAAGTGCTTCAAGTCCTCTTACTTTCAGCAAGGAAGATACTATCATTACCTACTTTTTAAAAAAATATTTTATTGTGGTAAAACATAGCTGACGTAAAATTTTCCCTTTGAACTATAAATGTATAATTTAGTGACATTAATTGTGTTCGCAGTGTTATGCAATCATCACTACTATCTATTTGTAAAAGTTTTGATCACCCCAAACAGAAATTAAGTAGTCATTAAGCTCTTATTAGCCACTAATCCACTTTGTCCTCTATACATTTACCTATTCTAGGTATTTCATGTATGTTGGATTATATAATATTGTCCTTTGTATCTGGCTTATTTCACTTAGCATAATGTTTTCAAGGTTCATCTGTGTCATAGCATGTATCATAACTTCATTTCTCTTAAAGGCTGAATCATTCCACTGTAGGGGTAATACCATATTTTGTTTTTCCATTCTTCTTTGATGGACACTTGAGTTATTTCCAGCTTTTTGCTGTTATGAATAATGCTGCAGTAACCATTTGTGTACATTGGTCCCTGCTTTCAATTCTTTTGGGTATATACCCAAGAGAGAAATTGCTGGATTTTATGATATTTCTGTGTTTAAATTTTTGAAGAACCACCAAACTGGTTTCCACAACAGCTGTACCATTTTATATTGCTACCTGCTTTTTAATAACTAGGTGACTGTGGTTCAGAGAGGATGGTCACTTGGTCCAAATAACATAGGTACCTATGCAGCACTGTGATCAAAATACAAAGTCCAAATTGGATCAGTTCAGAATGTAAAATTTAGTTCATGTATTAACCCTGATTTGGAATTTTTCTAAGAAACCTTATTAGTCCCCAAGAGTTTGTGCTTATTTATTTGACAATTGAAGTGGTAACCAGGTCCCTCTTTTCTAAAAAAATTTTTTTTTTAATTGTGATTTGGTGAAAGTTTATAGAGTGAATTTGTTTTCTATACAGCAGTTCATATACATTTTTTTTTTTTTCATGACATTGATTGCAATCACCAGGCCCTTGTTTTTGCTATCAGTTGTTTTTAGGGCAGATCTCAGATAACTATGATGACAGGACCATAGATTTTACCTAAGGAGGACCTTCTTCTGGCAAGAATTCAGTCAACCCTTCTTGAGTATAATGGTATCTACTCCTATAGAAATTAATTACTTATACATTGAAGAATATGTACATATGAATCATGTAGTTCTAATCATATTCAGCATCTCCTTAGAGGACAATTCTGATTGATTTCTCTATTTAGGGCCTTACTTGCTTCCTAATCTGGTTTTCCCATTAGCTAGTACCCTTGCCCAGTTTTGTGAAGTTTTTTTTCCCTCCCTAGAGTATCATTTTCTTTGATATTTTTTAATATAGTCTTTTTTTTTTTTTTAACTTTTATTTTTTTCTTTTGTTCTGGTATTTTTTTCCATTTCTGCCACCTAAGTATTATTCCACGTTTTTGTATAGATAAAATTATAAACATAGAGAATTTCTGAGTTTTAGGGAATCTTAGAGATTAATTAATCAGAACACCTTCTAGTATATCAACCTATGTTCAGCTTCCTGGCCAAGTGGTTGTTTGGATGGAGATCCTGAAACTCAAAGAGATAAAAGTGACTTCTCTGGATCATATATATAGCAAATGGTAGGAATGAGATTTTATCTCAGTTTATTAGGTCTAAGCCCAGTGCGTTTCCTTCTTTATCATCCATAGGTGAGTAGAAAGATGGAGAATGGGTTTAATGAGCACAGTGGAAGAAGATAGGAATGGAATTACCAGGGTGGGGTACGTTTAAAGAGGAACAATGCTGGGTTGGATAGGAATAAGAGTTTTAGGAAAAAAATCCAGCAGAATACTGGATTTATGACAAATTTGATATAGATAATTTATTGAAATGAAGGACATAGGATTTTGGGAGTTACCTAGAAAGGCATGTTAAAATAGCAAGCTTATTAAGGCAGTACTGAATAGGTTTTTTTTTTTTTTTTTGCAATTGGAGAAGCTAACAAATTTCAAGGTTTGTTTTGAAATATGTTAAAATAATTTGAGCCACGTTATAGCTGATAAAGGAGCGCTGGTGGAGTAGTGTGTAAGGTTGGCTGCTAACCAGAAGGTTGGTGGTTCAAACCCACCAGCTGTTCTGTGGGAGGAAGATGAAAAGATAAAGATCTACAGCCTTGGAAACCCAGTGGGGGTTGCTATGAGTTGGTATTGACTCAATGGCAGTGGGTTTTTGGGTTTACAGCTGATAAGAGTGTAGCATCTGTACAGCAGATAAAAAAGTGGTATCACCTAACACCATCCCAACCTACAGAGGATGACTTAGATCTCTTAGAGTCATAGGAGGCTGGAGGTTGCTGAAATATGTAAGTCTGTGGCCCAAGCAGGTGTCCTTTAACTTTTACCTCTTCCCAATTTGCTGATGTCCTTTCTGTGTACATGTTAAGTAGGAGATGGTAGGGTAGATTTGGCTATAAATAAAGTCAGTCATGAAGCTTCAGTTTTTAATTGGTAACATGCTTATGTTGGAGATGGATGATTGAGATTCCATTTAACTTGTTTCTTAGTATCAGGAAAATAGAGAGCTCCTAGTTTAGTTATTTGAGCTTATCCTTGTTTCAGGAATCTGTGTTTTTATAGTTTGAAGATATAAAGATTGGAGATTGCTACTGAATCTTGCAGAGGAAGGATCTAGATGTGGGAATCCATAGGAAGGAAGATATCTAGAGAGTATTAAGGAAAGAGAGGTACAACTATCAGGGCTTTATTTTAATCTCAGTTTCCTTTCTTGGATGTCTGAATTCTTATGAAGGTCTTTATGGGCTTACAGTTTTATGTAGACCTGAATAAGGCAGGCCCTATTAGGAAAAAGTAATTGGATTTTGTACTAATGTTGTAGTCTTCCTGGGAATAATATTCCCAGTAGCAGCATATAAATTCATTTTTTGACTTTTATACAAATAATTTTCAAGCATTTCAAATCTTTTAGGGACTTAACTATGCTGGTAGTGTAGTGGATAAGGCTTTTGGGTGCTAGCCAGAAGGTTGGCGGTTCAAACCAACTAGCTGCTCCATGAGAGGAAGATGAGGCAATCTACTATAAAGATTTACAGCCTTGGAAACCCAGTAAGGGTCACTGTGAGTCAGAAATGACTCGATGGCAGTGGTTTTTTAATTTTTTTAAATACTGTTTTAGAGTAAAGGATGAAAATGGGAGCAGTGTTTTGGCCTTCTTTATAAGTGGTTTTCAGCCAAAGAACCAAGACTTGCATTTTGACTGACACAAATTTGTCTTTGAACAAGGAACAGACAATGGACAAAGGATAGTGTGTCTTTCTACCTTGTTTTAAGCCATCAGTTTTGTTTTAGATTAAAAAATTTAATTCATCCATCAGTGATTTTCAGTCCAGCACCCAGGACCTTTGGTAAAGACAACTTATTCTTAGGCTCTGCCAATATATTTCTAGTTACTTTTTATTATGGGGACTAAAAGTGAGTCTTCATTGACTGGTTCATAGCTTGGGAGAGGTGGAGTGAGAAATAGGTAACAGTTTTTTTTAAAAAGAGAAGTAAAATTTTGTTATAAAGTATCATTTAATATATACCTGTATTTTAAAGCAAATAATGTGCTCATTCTAAATTTTTTGCCAACCCTTTACCCCCACCTCCTGGTATTTTTGTGGGGATGCTATGCTAAATTTTTTTTTTTTTCATAGCAACATGTAAAAAAATTAGCATGACACACTTACAAAAGTATTTGAGGTTGGGGAGAGCACAGTTGGTGAGAAAATACTGGCAGTATCTGTGTTATTTGCATTAAAATATGGTGGAGATAGGCAACATTTCTCAGGTTTTTTTTTTAAAGAAATGTGCTCATTTTTGTTATATATTTTTGCTCTAAAGGCTTTCCGACAAACCTGGCATTGGTGATTCATGGCCTACATCTGATGACACAGACTTAGATTTAGATATCAAGGTAAAGTGATCTATCATGAAATTAATTTTTCTGCTCTGAGTTTAATTTTTTGTTGTATTTACTCTTAAAATTTAGCAATAGTCTGCTTATTTTATAGTTATAATGGAAAGTTGTTCAGAGAAAAACTATGTAGTGGGAACATGACAAGTAGAATTTTTCTTCTTTGTTTTCACTTTTGACTTTGGTAAAAACTGAAGAGGGGGGGAGTTTGGGCTGAAAACACAATGGGCAGGAAAATCTGTAGTGACAAGAAAATTATATCGAGAGGAGCTTTCTCACAATGGTGAAAATATGAAAATGGTCAAGGAAGGATTATTACTATGATTTTTAAGTTACACTAATATAACTTTTATAATACTTATGTCTAAATGAAATCTTTCATGGATAGTTAACTAACTTCAGTAATCATGAAAGCACTCTCTGATGCTTTTCAGTTCTAAAACTAAATAACATTTATACATGTATATATTTTTGTTTACTGTGATTTGGGTGCATATTTACAAATCAGATTTTAGTCTCAACAGTTCATGCACATTTGATTCCACAGCCCCGATTATAATCCCCAACCATAAAAAACTCTTCTTTCCCCTCCTCCCTGTGACTACCCCTTCCCTGTGTCCTTACTGTCTATGCATTCCTGTCAGTCCAGCTTTCCCTCTATGTGAATGCTGCCCCTCTGATGTCTCATGCTGGTTGATCCAAGGGGTGCATCTCCCTGTGGTAGGTGGGTATATCTCCTTGGGGTAGATGTTCTGCTTGTAGGCCTTTCTACCATTGGTCTGAGAGACAGTCTGTGGGAGTGAGTCCATTTCTAGGCCCGAAGGATAACCTGGGACCATAGTCTCGAGTTCAACCAGTTTCCATCTGACCAGTAATTCTGGTCATTTTTGTGTTTTTGAATTTTGTTCCATATTTTTCCTACCACTGTATCCAGGATCTCTAATTTTATCCCCTTCCATGTATCTTACAGTTTTTAGGAGAGATCTTTTTTGTTTGCTTCTGTCTTTTGTTCTGTATTTAGCCTAATGCAGTATTTGAAATTGTGGGAACTTGAAAATTTAAATTTTCTTTCTCAAAATTCTGATTACAGAGGGATTCCACCATATTTCCTAAATCATTCCATTAAGAGAATATTTAATAATCTTCATCTGATTGCAGAACACATATTTTGCTTACCATAATAACTGTATCTAAAAGCAGAGACTCTTGAGAACCATATGCTAAAACTTCAAATTTCAGAAATTTTTTGTATTATAATTTTAAAAATATCTATTCATGACCCTAAATTTCCAAATTTCCTAAAATTTCAAATATAAGAATTTTTTATATTATAGTTATATTTTATATAATCAGCAGTGAGTTTAAATAGTCATTTTAAAGCCTTCTGTCTTTAAGCTGCTAGACGTTAGGAGACATACGTGTTTGTATCCTGCAACACCTAGAATAAGGTCTTACATATAAGAAGCATTTTTGAATGTGAATAAATGAATAAACAAATGAACTTCTATAAAATGGAGCTTTGTAAGAAGTATAATATGCATAATATGTCTAATAATTAAATCTATTTGCATTTCTAAAAATGTGGCTTGAATCAATATTCCCTTTTAATGTTTGGGATATATAAGTTCAATTGAGTTATATTGAGATAATGTGTTATTAATAAGATAGAAGGGAATATTATATTTTCTCCTCTTCTCCAATTGTGATCTTAGATTAGAATTTTAAATTTGTCAGTTTTTAGCCCCAGCCTGTGTTCTATTAAATATTTCTTTTCAAGTGATATATTACTCTTCAGAAATTCTGATTTCTGAATTTGCAAATGGAGAGTTGATGTGTCAGGAACATTTCCTTTCCCATTTTCTCTCTTTCTGTTCAAACAATGGAATGACTTGTTTTATAGTGATAAAATTAAACTCTGTAGTAGTATTTCTAAGCTATAGAGTAATATATATAAATCACTATTATTAGACACATACTATGAACAGAAGATTCATATATATCTTTCTCTTGTGATATACACACATACATATATATATTTCTTTACATACTTTATTTGTATTTAGGTTTTTCCTTTTCTTCCTGAGTTTGATCTCATATTTGATTGAGTGGTCATACCTCATTTTTTTTCCTACCTTTGTCCGTCCTCCCAACTTTAAAAATATTATTTACTCCAAGCTTAATTTTTGCCTCACAGAAAACATTTCTTCAGTATCTGTTCTCTCTATCTCTTTCTGTTTTTATTGTCAGCATATTTATTTACAGCTGTCTCTTCAGTAGCTGTGTATGTGTATGCATGCACATATGTGTGTATGTGTGCACTCATGCATCTGTATGTTCTCTGTCATCATCACTGGCTCACAATATTTATCCTTTTTCTCTTTCTTTGAAGGAACTGTGTTTATACTATCATTTGTGTTCAACTTTTTGACAAACAGAAGCAATTTACACTGTTTGTAAACCCAGACCATCTAAAAAAGGCACTACTATGAATTAAACTCATATGTTTTCCCCCACAAGAAATAATTTGGATGACCAGATAAATCATGAAAATATGAAGCTTCAAAATATAACAAATAATTAAATTTCCTATTGCTAGTATATTAGAATAATAGTTCAAACTACTCAGGTAGATTTTTGTTCTGTGTTTTTTTGATTAAGGAAATAATCTAATGGATATCATGTTATTTATATAATAAATTAGAGGCAAGGGGAGTAACATTTTGAAGATGCCTATGACGTCTCTCATGATCCTTACTCCATGAGAAGATGTGGGTTTGTAAGTGGCAGAACTGGAATTTGAATTCACATCTGAATGACTCCAAAACCTTTGCTCTTTATATTCGATCATATACTGATGATGACTATTGTAATAATTTTATCAATTTTGATACCTGTTATTTTTACAACTTTTTTTTTTTTTTCCTTAGAAAGTTCCAAAGCCAAACTTATCAAAGCTAATCACTGCTTCTCAGCAATCCAGGAAGTATAGTAAGCTGTTTGAAGACCTCCCATTCTTGCATTATTTGCTGATTTGAAGTTACAGATATTTTCATGCACTCTTTTCTTTGCTTTTACTGTAGTAGAAGAACAACTTAGCATTGTGAGACCAGAAAACAGAACTTTGTTTGAGGACAATAACTTTGAAAGTGAAAATGAAGTTGAAACTCTCCCTAAACCATCATTCAAAGTCCAGGGCTTTTCTCATCCTGCCTTTCCATCACCTGACCCTCCTTTAAAACCTTCCTTGAATATTTCAGCAGTCTCTGATATTACAAAGGTAAGTGTTTTCTTTTTTCAGTTTCTTTTTTTTAAGTGCATTGTATTGACATATAATTTATGTACAGTGAAATACACAAAACTAAAGTGACATGGGGCAATGCATTTTTTTTTTTTCAGTGTTCCTACCTGGCAACCAACAAAGAAAGTTTCCCTCCATATATAAACCTTTCCTTGACCCACCACAGCAATGAACTAATACTATATTTGTCATTGTGTGATTGACTTATTTCACTCAGCATAATGTCCTCTAAGTTCTTCCATATTGTGTGGTGTTTTGCAGACTCTACATTATTCTTTAGTGCTGTATAGCATTCCAGTATGTGTATGTAACATAGTTTGGTCATCTACTCTTTGGCTAATGGGCATATAGGTTGTTTCCATCTTTTTGCTATTGTAAATAGTGCTGTGATGAACATGAACATGCATGTTCCTATCCTGGCTCTCACCTCTCTAGGATATATACCCGGTAATGGGATTGCTGGGTCAAATGGTATCTCCAGTTCCAACTTTCTAAAGAATCACCATATTGCTTTCCACAGTGGTTGTGTCACTTCACAGTCACACAAGCAGTGTATGAGAGACCCAATCTCTCCACATCCCCACCAGCATTTGTTATTTTCTGTCTCATTGAACCTTGCCATCAGTGCTGGGGTGAGACGGTGTATCTCATTGTCTTGATTTACATCTCTCTGATGGCCAATGATTGTGAGCATCTTTTCATGTATCAGCTGACCACCTGAATATCATCCACGGTGAACTGTCTATTCATGTCTTCTTCTCATTTTTCAATTGGATTGTTAATTCCTTTGGTGTTGAAACATTGGAGTTTTCCATCAATCTTAGAGATAAGTCCCTTGCCAGATATATAATTATCAGCAAATATGAATTTATTGCTGTCATTTTTCTCATGTGCTTTTTCATTGTGTTGATTTCTTTGTTCCATATAATTTTCTATGCTGAGCTTATTTTGTTTATGAATCATGTTGTCACTTCCTTCATTGCTTTTGTTTTAGTATTTGCTGAATATTTATGCTGGTCCTCTTTCTTATTTTGATGTGAAGGTTTATCATTTTTCTTTGAGGTTACCCTGTGACTTACAGTTTTCTTCCCAAGTTTAGAACAGTCCATTCTATCTTGTAGGTCTTGACTTCCCTACCATCTAGAAAGTTCTGTAATGACACAGATGTTTTTCCCTCTTTTTGGTTTGTAGTTGTCCTCATTTATTGGGTGCTGTCTATGGTTCCCTGCTTACAATCTTGTAGGCTTCTTTACTTTGGATACTTCCATAGCTGAGTTGGTTTCTGGGTTATATCATCATGTGTGTTAATGGTAAGTTGTTGTTGGCTGTTGTTGCTTCTCTGTCCAAAGGGCTCCCTTTAGCATCTCTTATAAGGTTAGTCTGGTTTTAACAAATTCCCTTAATTTCTGCTTATCTGGAAATGTCCTAATTTCACCATCATATTTG